TGGGAGACAGGCGGGCCCTCAGTCAGTGGGTGCCAGTGGGGCCATCTAGTAGCTGTCTCAGTTGATGTAGCCCAGATACGGGAGCCTAAATAACAGGTATCTCAAAGCCAAACCTCACTCACATCTAACTGGTTTGTATTTTTCAAGCGAGTTTGAAAAGTTTTCCAGACTTTTTAGTTTTAACCATGAAGCCGTGGGAACCACTTCTGCTTCATTTCTGCAGTCTTGGTGTACACATTATGGCTTACCTCTGTCTTGGGTTCAGATTCTCCATTGGCCTTGGCATAACATGGGTGATGAGCAACTGGTTGCGTTTAACACAGTCACTAATGCGGGAATAGGCAGTTTACATGCCACGGTACACATTTTGCAAAGTTTGGTCTTCTCAGACGTGTCCAAAAATTTAACCAGACTGGATTTTTAACCAGATGTACAGTAGTCTGCAATCTTCCGTTGGTCCCAAGAAGCACATTTGAATGCCCGTTTGTTGTGGGCGTTCACACAAAATGGCCATTGTGGGTGTGGTCAGTTGGCAAACCACCATTCACTAGGAGGCAATCTAATAGTCACTTTTCTATCTTTTTTAGCCCTCTGTCAGGCTTTACCTCGACCGTTTTTTGTCTTTTCTGTGCATGCTTTTTTCATTTCACTTATTTACAGTATTGATGGGCCACCAGCTCCCCAAAAGAATGGAAAGACTTTAAATAATGTTATAAAATTATCTTGTAAATAAAGATTATGCTAAAGAGTTGCACTTTGATGTCCTATTTAATTTTTTGAACTTGGGGCTGGGAATTAAAATAGCGTCCGATACAGCAAGAAATTTAGCGGGTGCTCATGAAGAGGCTGTGGACTCATCCAGGATCTAGGTTATCCCAATTGAGAAAGGCAAGGCTAGTGCAAGTAATCGTGGCCTGTAGGGAAATCTTGAGCGCTCTCTTTTCATGCTGGAGGATGCTTTGGCCTGTTAAGATCATCAGAAGGTTGGTGAGAATAATAAAAAGGAACTTCTTACTTGCTTCCATCATTGGAGGTTGTGGTGGTGCCCATGCTAATAAAGATTGGACATTGGACATTGGAGCAGATGTCCTGGGTTCTGCAGCTCAGTGACCTGCCTGAGGCCAGATTCACCCAAAATTGTAACTTTACGTCCAAATTAACAAAGCCCCATTGCCATGTTTGCATAACGGTCTGGGTTCAGACAAATCAGCCAAGTTCTTTAACGTGACTGCTGGCACATTAACCACGCAAAGACCATAGCTGAGTTCCCACAATCAACCCAACCCATTCCAGCCTTGCCTAGTACGTTATGAGAATGCAGCCACAGAGTGACAAGATTTGGGGCCCCAGCATCAATACAAGGATTTTGGAGCAAAAAAGGCAGGGAAATTAGCTAGAGATGTACTTATTAGGATGTGCTATTTATTAGGGTTATAAGCTCCAGGCTGCAAAAATCCGGAAGGCCACTACGTGTGACCGTTTGCTGCCATCCTGTGGTTGTCAAGATTTGGTAGCCCCATTTTTTATTTTATTTGTATTAGTTTATTGCTGCAAACATTCCAGAAATATGGAATTTGACCCTTTATGAAGAACTCCAGCTCCATAATCCGTAGTGGCCTTCCGGATTTTTGCAGCCTGGAGCTTATAACCCTAATAAATAGCACATCCTAAAAAGTACATCTCTAGCTAATTTCCCTGCCTTTTTTGCTGAACCTGGGATTCAGCTAACAGAATCATTCTGCGCAGGTGGGAAAAAAAGAAAGCAGTTAAAGTATCTTTTGTTGATTTTAGAAATGTTTTATTATACAAAAAATAAGAAGATGGAGAAGTATATTTCTGTATGATCTAGCTTTAATAGTATATTAAAAGACTGGTTGCATATTAATCCTGTA